CAAATCACTTTGACGCAAGCAACCCCAACAACTTCAGTCCAAGCTTCAACGACTCCAACAGGACAACCTGCACAAAAGGCAAGAAACATCGTCAACTGCATGGTAAAGATAACAGATTCCTACACAACCGAATCACCACCATACTACTCACCCGAAGAACAACTCGACAACAGTACACCTCGCCGCGAGTCCATTCAACCAAACCCGACGTACGCCGCCATTGCTCAAAGTGAACCGTCCGAGAAAGACATATGCTTCTTGGATAGTTGCTGCGGACAGCACATGTGCTCTTCAGGACGCTTCGTCCAACGTGAACATCGACTTCAACGAGAGGTCGTCATCACAGTCGCCAACAACCAGAACCTGCGCACACGACGACAAGGTGTAGTACAGCTTCAGTCCAGAGAGACAAACGTTATACTGCATATGTCAAAAGTACCAATCGCGGTGGGACTCGGCTACAACTTACTGAGCGTCGGCCAGTTGATGGCGAAAGGCATTCACTTGGAAGCCGACAGTACCACCCAGGAGTTCAAATTATACCACGGAAAGGGCGGCCTCTACATCGGGAAGGCGGTCTTGAAGAACAACGTCTTCGTCCTCGACTTCGTCCCAGACCTGGGCACCGCAGACAGCGACGCCATCGTGAACTTCGCCGACTGGACGCACCCTCCAGATCTTGATCCAGACTTCAGCCCGGAAGGTTTCTGGTACTCGCATACCATCCCTGAAGTAGAACGAATACGCGCGTTAGCAACAATTCAACACTCGGCAGCAGAGACAGCATCGGCAGCAGCAAAGACAACATCGGCAGCAGCAGAGACAACATCGGCAGTAGCAGAAACAACATCGGCAGCAGCACAGACAACATCGATAGCAGCAGAACCATCGTTAGCAACACCAGCTCTCGTTGACGAAGCACCACCAACACCCGCACAGCAGCTGAACCCAACTCAACGAGAAGTCCACAGAAGTGCAAACTTCGTCGCCAGCTTTTACTCCAACTCCGACGCGTATCGACGCTCACCCGGACATCGCGCCTCCGAAGAAATCTGGCACGCACGAATGGGACATCCAAGCAACACAGTGTTAAATAATACGATAAGAGCGGGAGTCCTAGACAAGGACTCATTACTCCTACCCGACGGCAGAGAACTTCAACGGGCACGAGGGACTTGTCTTACCTGCCCCGAAGCCGACTTACCACATCAACCGTTCACTCCTCATCACAACCCGAGCGCACCCGCGTATGCACCACTCGAGAACGTGTACAGCGATATTCTCTTCAATCGAGAACCAGGACAAGTTACCTACTACACGATTACCTTCATCGACGCCGCCACTCGATACGTCTGGCATCTAAATCTACCCAGCCGCGACATGGCCCTCGCAGCGTTCGCCGCCTGGCTACCAGTAGCAGAAAGAGAGTCGGGAGCACAGCTGAAAAGCTTCCAGTCAGACGGAGGAGGAGAATACACCTCTCGGCGATTCAAGCAGTACCTGGCGGAAAGAGGAATCAAGCAGCTCCTCTCCCTTCCCTATGCCCATCAGCAGCAAGGTGTCGCAGAACGAATGAACAGGACTCTGCAGAACAGCATGCGCAAACTGTCACGTGGCATGCGGCTACCCAACCACCAGTGGCCTGCAGCAATGGACCATGCTGTCATGCTGCACAACTTGATGTCGTCGTCCTCACTCCCGAACAACGCATCACCGCATCTGCTGTGGACAGGGAAACAGGGTAGTACAAAAATGTTACGAGTTTTCGGGTGCATGGTACATTACCGACCCCCAGAGGCACGAGCGGGAAGATTTTCACAACGCGCATAGTGGGGACTACACCTCGGCATCGAAAAGAATTACAACGCGTGGAAAATCTTCGACGTCCACTCCAAGGAAACAGTAGCAGCACGTGATGTGATCTTCTACGAACGACTCACGCTTCAGACGTACCTCGCCAACTTGCACGAAAATCGGGACCCCACAGGTGGCTTTCGTGGTGACCGAGCCTTCGCCTCAGCAGCGGACGAAGCAGACTGGGACGAGCAGAACGTCGACAACGCATCAGAAGAAGCCGGACATCTCCCGTTCTGCTCCGTCAACGTCCCCATGGACGAAGAAAATCCTCGCGAAAGCGCCAACACCGAAGTCTTCTATCACTTCACCGACAATGGTTACATAACACCTGCGACAGTCAACACCAACGAAGCAGAAAGAGTAGGACCGAATTTAATACCCGACCCAGAAGCGGGAGATGAAGCAGCTTATCCCGAGTACACAACACTCCCCCGCTACTTACAGACTGGACTGCAGATTCTCGGTCTCGTCACCGCAGTCCACGGCCATCCTCTTCCTAAAGAGCCTGCGACAGTTCAGCAGGCTCTGGGGGGGGAACACAGGGAGAACTGGCGTGAAGCCATGGACAGAGAATTAAAGGCCTTGGAGGAACGAAACACCTGGAAGGTTGTTCCAGTTAGCGTGGCAAGGAACAAGACCATCCTCACCGGGAAATGGGTCTTCCGCATCAAAACGAAGGCGGACGGCACAATCGAGAAGTTCAAAGCACGCTGGGTCGTGCGAGGATTCGATCAGGAACACGGACGGGACTTCACCGAGACATTCGCCCCGGTTAGCCGACACACCTCACTCCGAATCCTCCTCGCGATCGCCGCCATGAAGAAAAGAAAACTACGGCAAATCGACGTCGCTAACGCCTTCCTCCACGCACCCGTCGACGCCGAAATCTTCGTTGAGCTCCCACATGGTACCCACGGGGAACCTAATCAGGTTTGCCAGCTACTGAAATCACTCTACGGAATCAAACAGGCCCCACGGCTATGGCAACAGCACCTACACACCCGCCTCACTCGCATCGGATTCCGTCAACTGCCTTACGACCAAGGCATGTACCGACTCACCAAAGACGCCAACTACATTCTGCTTATCGTCTACGTCGACGATTTACTCTACATCGGTTCTATCGACGACATAACTACCTGGTTCGAAGGGGAGTTGAAGAAGGGTCTCACACTCACGGTCTCCACTACCGTCACTCAGTATCTTGGACTCAACATCTGCGAAGAAGAAAACGCGATCTACCTCAGCGCCGAAAAGTATGCCGACACCATCGCCAAACGCTTCGCGCTCACACCTGCTACTATCTCCACGCCATACCGCTACACGGCAGGGAACGGCAAGGAAAGCTCCGCCTTACTCAAAACCGCCGGAATACGCGACTACCAGCGAAAACTAGGCTGCCTCCTCTTCGCAGCCGTCACCTGCCGCCCAGACCTGTCCTACTCCGCAAGTCAACTTGCTACCTATCTCAAGAGGCCCGAAGCAGAACATCTGGCGGAACTCGACCGCGCTCTTCACTATTTCGTGAGCACCGCAACGATCGGCCTGACGTACTACAAAAACACAACTACGCCGACGAAACTAATCGGCTACGTCGATGCCGATCACGCCGGCGACTCAGATAACAGGCGCTCCCACACTGGCTACATCTACCGCCTCGAACCTATCGGACCTATCTCCTGGCAATCGAGCAAGTAGGAACTAATTGCTCTCTCTTCAGCTGAAGCAGAATATATCGCCCTCTGCTCAGCCACCAAGGAAGGACTCTACCTTCGCGAGCTGCTGGAAGAAGCGAAGTTAGCCGAGTTACCCAACTTCACTTTGTTCTGCGACAACCAATCTGCAATTCGCATCGCCAACAAGAGCGGATTCGCGAACAGAACGAAGCATATCGCCCTGCGATATTTCTTCGTGAAAGACGAAATCGAGAAAGGGAAACTCGATCTATCCTACTGTCCCACGTCCGAGATGGCAGCTGACTACTTGACCAAGAAGCTTGGAAAACAAAAGTTCGAGTACTGCATGCTGCTGACTGGACAAAGCCACGTCACCATCAGCGACACTCCAGAAGCGAAGGGGAGTGTTGGGAACAAATAAGTTAAGCGCCTCTGTCGTGTCAGAATTCAAGACACAAAGCGAAGCAGCTCAAGTCGAAGCATCGCGAGTCAACCCTCGGAAGTTAACGTAACCGCTGGAGGTTACGTGAAAGTCAAAGGTCAGCGACCTTTGACCTGACGCAGCGTGACAGCAAGGACACACAACTGACTCGACATTGAGCAGTTGCCCGAGTCGCACTGTATCGAACCGCAACAGTAAAGTAGTTATAATGTCTCTTCATATTCTCTGTACTCATATATTTATATTCCTGTATCTCCTTGCTTTAATCAACTCACTTTGCCCTCACATCCTAGCGCAAGGTGGTTCAAGGACTTTATTCAACGCTTCCGCTATTACATCACTTACTCAAACTTTAACTCTACAAAGTTCCTAGGGCGTTTCAGCCCAACACATCTGATGTCGTAGACATGCTGTTTAATTTCGTTTGATTTTTAAGAGAAGCCTTTTCCATTCATCTGATTACTCAGACAGCCTTATACAGTTCGTCTGAAACTGCGGATATTGTGTCTTTTTAGTATTCACCTGCCTAGCAGAAGCAAGAGACAAGATTCGGAAACTTCAACCTTCACAACACCCTATTCTACTGGCTGAACCATTAGGGCTGAGATGTTTTCCTAGCTTAATATATTCTCGGAAATCTCAGACAAGTATTTAGACAATGTTACAGCTTTTGTCTGACAATCAGACAAGGAGCCAGGACCCGGTCTTGATATCAGACGGGTCATTTTATTAAAGTTAGCCCTGGTTCCCAGTTTACCTCAACATGTCAGATTTGGCGTTCTTGAACCACTGCTAAGCGGTTTTCTGCTTGTCACAAACCTTCCTTTGGGCTTAAAAACTTTAGCCGATGAGGCCACACGAGCTAGGCTAGAGGTGGCAAGATTTCCTACCAAACAGCACTGGTTATGCAAAGAAATTGGTTTGTTTATTCGATTTCCTAGACAGCGATGTTGAATCCCTTGCTCCCACTGCTGGCAGCACTCTTGAGTTCGCAGGCAAAGAACTTGGTTTGTTTATTTTATCTCCTAGGCAGAGGTGTCGAACCCCTTGCTGCCGCTCCTTGCCGCACTCTTGGGTTCGCGGGCAGCAGCAGCCTTGGCCTGCTCCTCACAGTACTTGGCCACTTCTCTGAACTTGGGCACACTCTTGAGGTCAATGACTGTCTTGTCCTTGAGAATGATTGACACATCCCCCCACTCGCCTATGAAGCGCGGCGCTGACCGCACCTCTGACACCAACTGCAGGGTGGGGAAAGAGGGAGTGGGGACGTGATTAGAGCACACGACTCGCATGAGGTCAATCAAGGTCTTGTCTTTGAGAATGATTGACGCGCTCCCCACTAGCGCGGCACTGACCGCACCTCCGACACCAACTGCAGGTTGGGGAAAGAGGGAGGGGGGACGTGATCAGAGCACACAACTCGTATGAGGTCAATGACAGTCTTGCATGGTTGGCGCGTGGCGCGTCCCCCACTCGCCTGTTAAGCGCAGCGCTAGTCGCACCTCGGATTTAAGGTGCAGGTTGGGGAGGGAGAAAGGGGGGGAAGGGGGAAGGGTACCTGAGAGGACTCGCTGGGAGGGTCAGACACGTTCTTGAGGTCAATGATGGCCAGTCCGGTCGATTGACCCAACCCCCCACTCCCCTCTAACTGGAACTGATTCAACTTTGAACGTAACGGGTTCAGGTCAAACCGGAGAGGAGAAAACTTGCCAGTTCATAGTTTAAACAGGCAAGGTTCGCATTTGTGCATGCTAGCAGTAAGCGTGTGCAATGAGCGCGCAGTCAAAGAGCACCAGGGGGACCAGCGCAGTGCGAGGTAATTAGCTGGAAACTGAGTTGCTTCTTACCGAGTATGGGTACTCGGGCCTCTCCTTCTCCTCCAGTTCGATCCGACAATGCGGTGAAGCAGCGATTGGTGAAGCGGTAGCGTAGCGTGAGGACGCGGAAGGAAGAGGCGAGGGCGAGTGTGAGCGGCACAACCTATATTAGTAAAATAGTCTACAAGTGAGTTGTCTCTTACCGAGTATGGGTACTCAAGCCTCTCCTTCTCATCGAGCTCGGAGAGCACAGTGAAGCGGCGGTTGGTGAAGCGGTAGCGCAGCGTGAGGACGCGGAAGGCGGACGCGAGGGTGAGCGGCAGCCACACGCCCGTGAGCCCCAGCACTAGGTTCAGGGCCAGGTCGCCTGCATGCGGACCACTGTCGAAAAACACCTCCTGTGGTGTGGGGCGGAACCGGGGAGAGGGATGGGGAAGACGGAAGTGAGGGTTAGAGGAAGCAATAAGCAGGTGACCACGTGCGCTATGTGTTGTTGGTTACAGGAAGAGGGAGAGAGAGCAAGAACGGCGCGTCATTTTCCGTCAGTCACGGTGTTGTTATGCAGCGCTTAGGCCTCCTCCAATGACGGTGCTTGTCTTGTCTACGTTCTCCTAGCCTCCCTCTCGCCCCTCTCGCCTAGCTCGCCACGCATGCAACCTCCCTTCGCTCCCCTTGCTCCCTTAATCGAGGAGCATTTTCTCGCTCCGTTGCCCTGAAAACGAGGGTCAAGGGCCCTCTTTAGCCGCCTCGTCAACGCCACCGTCTTTCTGGTTCGACTTTTTGATAAAACTGACAGACTTCCGGTTGATGACTGAGTCAATTCCCTTCCGTGAAATGCGATGCGATCGTATGCCATGCGACGGCGACGACCGTCGCGATGGCGAAGGATGACAATGGCGGCGCCACTGAGGATGGGATGAGACAACGGGTGGACTGGAACGCGCCACGTACCTCTGAGCTGGAAGACGATGAAGATGACGCGGCCACAGAGATATTCCGCGTGGAAGCAGCTGCTGCTGACGTGGAAGATTCTAGTCGAAGAGCAGACGAAGAGAGCTGTGACCTTCCCCCCGTGAATGTGGCTGACGTCACCGACTTGCGACCAGGGAGCGGCGCGAAAGGCGCTGACGAGGCGCCATCTGCTCTCCGAGATGCGGAAGCGAGAGTCGCGGAGGCTGCGACGGCGGAGTGTTGAACAAGAAGAGACGCCATTTTCCACTCGGCCTCGAGAACAACGCGAGACGACCTCCTAGAGGCTCTGAGATAACTGGGAGACAGTAATGAAAGAGGGCTTCCTCTGACACGCTATCTGAAGCCTAGCCTTATGCACGTTCCAGACTCCCAGCGGACACTGTCTTGACGCCACAAGTACTAACCTTTTTAATGCTAGCAGCACAGAAGCAACGAGCTTCTGCAAATTATGACGGAATTTCCGAGGACATGTCAGAGTAGCTGCTGTACCACTTTCAGCCAAGCAGAAGGATTGGCTGGTTCGGCGTGGCTTGAGGCTCGTTCGGACGGTGTTGTGGACGTGGCAGATGCCGTATGGGAGGGTCCACGTAGTTGAGCTCGAGTGTTGACTGGTGAAGCGAAGCTAATGAAGATCTGCCACGGTGGATGCAACGCGTGGAGCTTCGACAACCAAACCTGACATGACCCTGCTTTGTACACGTCCTGGTTCGATCATCGAATCCCCAATGGTCCGACGAGGCAACTAGAGAAATCTCTGAGCTAAGGGGATTTTGCAGAAAGAGTAAAAACCAGGCGTTGAACCTGACGTGAATCGAACACGCAACCTTCTGATCTGGAGTCAGACCCGCTACCATTGCGCCACAGATCCATGTTAGGACCAGTGAATAATATATAATAGTTTCTAAAATCTCTTTCGCCACAGTCACAGAAGTCGTCTATGACGTCAAATCCGCGTCGCTGCGAATTCGGTGGTTGGACCAAAGACGCAACCCTGACGACAAGCTCTGCTGCACGGAGCCTGCCAGCTTTGCGTTCCCTCTCAAACTCGTCCCCCGTCATCTCGCGGAAGGCATGATATATGCTCGATGCTACGTATCCCTTCTTGATTTACACTATCAAATAATCCCTAACGAACAGACTCTCCTAGCAGGTCCACTTACATCGCCACCTGAATCGTTGCATAGTTTACCAACTATCTTACCACAAACCTTCTGAGCAGGCAGCTCGCCGATTGTGCCAGCAATTTATGTCTCAGAACACGGATTGGCTGCATTCGAGCAGCTTCAGGATGCACACGGCGGCGCTCTCCCGAGTCGTTCCTTTGACAATTCCCGAAGACAGCCAGCTTCCGTCAGACGACGACTCATCAGATGTTCGAAGGCAGCCCGGTTCGGAATCCAGAGAAGACCGAGCCCCGAGTCAACGTCAAGGCAGACTGAATGATGTAGACCATGGTTCTTTGTCGAATATGTTCGGTCGTGTTCCACTCACTAGGTGCCTGGCCATGCGTCGAGGCGCGTATGATAGCTGGGTCGTTCGCACGATCGTTACGCCAGAAGGGGTGAAGGAGGTGTTTGGCCCGCCATAGCCGACAGCCTTCCACGATGAATTTTTAGGTAGTTCACCTTTAGGCTACTCTTTTATTTAGCCAACGCAGTCTTTGTGTAGGTGGGTTCGTGTGTGTTTGTATGAGTTTTTGTATTGCGAATTTTTCTTATCCCTCCACAATCACTCGCCGTGCCCTGTCCACCTATTGCTCAATAGATTTGGATTACCTTGGCAAACCGTTTCTCCCTCCACCCCTCCATCCTCTCCTCTCCTCCTTCACACTTCCACCCCTTCCCCTCCCTCAGATCCCTTCCCCCCCTCTCTCCCCCTCCCCCCCTCCCGCCCTCTCACCTTCCTCTCCCTTCCACCCCCACCACCCAACCACCCCTCCCCCTCCCCTCCCCGTCCTCCCCCTTCCTCAAGCCTCCCCTTTCCCCTCCTCTTCCCCCTTCGTCCTCCCCTGTTTCTGTGTGTCCCTTTCCCACTCCTGTACCCCCCCTCCTTTCGCTCTTTTTGCTCACCACATCTCCTTTTGCTCGTGCTACTAATTTAGTGGTACGCCATACTTTGAAAGTGCTTGTGTATTTACACCACAGGGCTAACGTGGGTGGGCTTGGTGCGAGCTTGTTGGCTACGCAATGCTCGCTGTTGTATAGATGTGCTCGTTGCATCAGTGGTCAAAATCTTGAAAGGGGTCGGGCGAGACCTGAATTGCCCAAGTCGGGAGGCATTTTGCTGACAGTTTGTTGCTCCCAGACACTTGGGTTTCCCAAACCCTAAATTCCGGCATTGCTTTGTTGTGTAAGGGCGTGTCCAGCTCGTTCGTTTTGGAAAATCCAGTACCTCCTCACGATCCGGGGTTCAAAACTGAACACTGTACCTATAAACGAACGTGCCTTGCTCGAGTCCACCCTTTCTGTCATTCTGGCGCGCGGACACCATCCCCCCACACAGACTTAAACAGTGCAGGGGCCGTGTGGCAACCAAGGTAACCAGTTCCCTCGTCAACCAAAGCGTTAGAATTTTCGCCAGGCCAACACTTCCACTCAGTGCCCTATATATCAGACTTTGGAGTCTGAATCAGAGTCCGTTCAGACTTTTTTTTGTACCTAGTCTGAACTCAAAGAATTTATTTATGTACCTTGTCTGACTTTCCAGAGTTTTTTCTTATGAGTTGTCTGAAATTTCAGCCTAATTTTATGTCAAATGTTGTAGCCTGTAGTGAGGTTTGTCTTAGGGGGTACAGAAGTTAGGGTTTGTCATATGTACCCCAACCAACATCAATGGAACATCCATTCCTCATTTTGACATGGTATCAGCTAGGTTAGGATCCTGTGGGATCCCGTTCCTCCGTTCTCCGTTCGTACCTCCCGAGCCTGATCCTACCCCTCGTTCGTACCAGTTTCGTTGTTACCGCGCCTAGTACCGAGCCTAGCGCCATCTCCCCCGTCGCGTCACGCCCGTTCCCCCCCGTCGCGTCGCGCCCGTTCCCCCCGTCGCGTCGCGCCCGTTCCCCCCGTCGCGTCGCGCCCGTTCCCCCCGTCGCGTCGCGCCCGTTCCCCCCGTCGCGTCACGCCCGTTCCCCCCCGTCGCGTCGCGCCCGTTCCCCCCGTCGCGCCGCGCCCGCCTGTTACCCCCCCCGTCCCGTCGCCCTGTCCCGTCGCGTCGCCCTGCCCTGTCCCGTCGCCCTGTCCTGTCGCGTCGCCCTACCCCGTCGCGTCGCCCTGCCCTGTCCCGTCGCCCTGCTCCGTCGCGCCGCCCTGCCCCGTCGCGTCGCCCTGTCCCGTCGCGTCGCCCTGCCCCGTCGCGTCGCTCCCGCCCTTTCCCCCGTCGCGTCGCCCTCCCTAGGCCCTGGCCCGTCGCCCTCCCTAGGCCCTGGCCCGTCGCCCTCCCTAGGCCCTGGCCCGTCGCCCTCCCTAGGCTCTGGCCCGTCGCCCTACCCTAGGCCCTGGCCCGTTGCCCTACCCTACGTCTTGGCCCGTCGCCCTAGCCCGCTCTTCCGCTGCGACTGAGTCCTCTTCCCCCCCGGTTGTTACTCGCCTGTTCGTTCGCGTTGGTTCTCACTATGGCGACTCCGCGAGTTCTTCGTTTCGACGCCGACGGTAGACCCCTTGACTTTTCCGTCTGGCTTCTTCGCGCTCGTCGTCTGTTAGAGAGTCAGGTCCAGGGGGGCGAGACCCTCTGGTCACACGCTACTGGTGACCTCCCCGAGCCCCCCGAGCCTACAGCTTTAGGCCCTGCTCCTGACGACGCTTCTACGGCTCGCTTTGCCCGTCAGCGCGCTGACCGGACGGCTTGGACGTCGCGTGACGCTGCGGCCTGCATCGCACTCAGCAGCCTCCTCCCTGAGTCCGAGGAGGTCCACTTTACTCAGGTTCGCACCGCTGCTGCGTACCTCACTGCGATTAAGGCCCGCTACTCTACTCCCGCTACTGTCTCTCTCGGCCGTCTTTTCCTCCCGTTCCTGTTTCCTGATCTTGCCTCGTTTGAGCGCTCTGCTGACTTGATCGCTCACCTCCGCTCGCTCGACGCTAGTTACCGCGCTGCTTGCACTGAGGCACAGCTTGCACTGCTTCCTCCCCCCATGGCGATTACTGTCTATTTCATCGCCACTAGCCTCCCTGACCGCCTTGCCTCCGTTCGTGACGCGCTTCTGCTGAAGCACCCTAGTGAGCTGACTATCGAGGTCCTTGAGTCTGCACTCAAGGACGTCGAGAGCAACCTTCGTTCGGTAACTGCCGCCTCTGGTACTGTGTCCCCCCCACTCTTCCACGGGTGCACAGTCCCGCAGTTACCCACCTTCACTGCCTCTCTTGCCACTGCCGCTACTGACGCGACTGCGGCTGCTGTTACGACTGCGTCGCGGTCCCGCGGCAGGGGGGGCAAGAAAGGTGGTTCCGGTGGAGGTGGAGGCGGAGGTAGCGGAGGTAGTGGGGGTGCTGTTGCGACTGGCGGTGGTGGGAGTGCAGCGTCTGGAGAGACCCCTCGTGCAGCGGCTGGTGACTCCACTGCACCTGCTGGTGGCGGCGACCCTCGAGCTCGTCAGTCGCCTCCTGTACTGCCGGCCCCGCTAGGTGGAGCAGCGGCGTGGTACTAGGCTCAGCGTCAGCAGCACCTTCAGCAGCAGCAGCAGCAGCCCCTTTCCTCCCAGCAGCCTCAGCAGCAGCAGCGTCAGCAGCTGGCTCCGGGGTCGGGGCTGCGTCAGCCCCAGCGCGGTGCGGCTTACCCTCCCTGCCCCTACCAGGTTCAGACAGGTCCTCGTCGGGGCCACCCTTGTGGCCGCTTTCACCCCCCTGGTCAGTGCTTTGCTCAGCTCACTGACACGGTCCGGTTGACCTACGGGGTTGGCGGTCCTGCTCCTGACTGGCTTCCTCTGGTTCAGCGCTACGGCTCCGCTCTGTGGGGCATGTCTGCTGAGCAGTTAGTTGATCTGATTAGTGCTCATCATGCTATGTATGCTGTTGTTGACTCTAGTGTTTCTGACTCTGTTTACTCTAGTGTTGTTAGCTTAGGTGCTAGTCTTGCTCAGTTGCCTGTTGCTAGTGTAGGTACTTGTGTAGACTCTAGACCAGCGACTACCTCAGAGGACGCTTCGCTGTCGTTCACACTGGACTCTGGAGCCTCCCACTGCTTCTTTCGGGACAGCACGACACTTACACCACTTCCTGCGCCTGTTTCTGTAGCGTTGGCTGATCCCACTACGGGACCAGTCACTGCACGTCACACTACCACTTTACCGTGTCCTGCTGCTCCCTCCGGGTCTCTCACTGGGTTTCACGTCCCCTCGTTCTCCCGGAACTTGGTGGGCGTGCGACCCCTCGTGAGTCAGCACGTGGGTGTGTGGTTTGAGCCTTCTGGAGAGACTGCGGTGTGTGTTGACGGAGACTCTTACCAGCCTCTTGCTACCTTTACTGCTGAGCCGGGCTCGGGTCTCTACACTCTTCACACTGGCCCGCGTGCGCCGCAGCAGCAGCCGCAGCAGCAGCAGCAGCCGCAGCCGCAGCAGCAGCAGCAGCAGCAGCAGCAGCACCAGCGGCCGCACCAGCAGCCCCCCCTACTGCCACTGCCCCCGGTTCCCCCCCCCGTTCGGGTCCCCGCGTCTCACCAGGTTGCTACGTCCCCCCAGGTGTCTGTGTCGTGTAAGGTTCCTACGTCTGTTCCAGTCGCTGCGTCGTGCTCCTGCCGGTCGCTTGCCCACCCCACCGTTCTGTGGCACCACCGGATGGGGCACCCGTCCCTTCCACGTCTGCGTGCTATGTCTAGTCAGCGTCTTGTCCTAGGCCTCCCACGTGTCTTGCCGTCGCTGCCGCCTTCGCCTGCGCCGCCGTGTCGTCCCTGCGTCGAGGGTAGGCTGCGCGCCACCCCTCACTCCTCCTCCCTTCGTCCGGCCACCGAGCCTTTTGAGACGCTTCACTTGGACGTCTGGGGCCCAGCCCCTCGTCTAGGCCCTGAGCGTGAGCGTTACTTTCTGGTGGTCGTTGACGACTTCTCCCGCTACACCACAGTGTTCCCTCTGGCGAAGAAGTCTGAGGTGACTTCTACGCTGATCAGGTGGTTGCTCACCACTGAGGACACTCGTGGTCGTTGTGTCAGCTGTCTCCACTCCGACCGTGGGGGTGAGTTTCGCTCCGGCATTCTCGCTGGATTCTGTCGCGAGCAGGGCATTCGTCAGTCCTGGACGCTTCCAGAGTCCCCACAGCAGAATGGGGTTGCTGAGCGCCGCATAGGCCTGGTCATGGAGATCGCCCGCACCTCCCTGACTCACGCCTGTGCCCCCCATTTTCTGTGGCCCTACGCGGTCAGGTACGCCGCGCACCAGCTGAACCTCTGGCCACGTGTCTCTCGACCAGAGGTTTCACCGACCAGTCTTTGGACAGGGTCCCCTGGTGTTGCGTCGCGGTTTCGTGTCTGGGGGTGCTTGGCTCTTGTCCGCGACACCTCCGCGGACAAGCTCTCGCCTCGTGCCGTCCCCTGTGTCTTCCTTGGTTTCCCTGAGGACTCCTCTGACTTCACCTTTTACCACCCTCCCTCTCACCGGTTCTTTGACTCCCGTGACGTCCGTTTCGAGGAGTCCACTCCGTACTACGTCAGGTACCCCAGTCGAGGTCTCCCGGTTCCTCCTCCCCCCCTCTTCCTGACTGCCGTTCCCCCTCCTGCTCCCCCGGTACAGCCTCCCCCCCTGGTCCAGCCCCGTCAGGTGTGTCCCAGGCTACCCCTCCTCCTTCGGTAGCCCCTCCGGTACAGCCTCCCTCCCCACAGTCCTCCTCGCAGCGTGCCGCTGGTGCTAGCTCTCGAGAGGTTGGTGCGGCGCCTGTTCCTGTACCGGTTTCTGGTTCTGGGGGTGCTGGAGTTGGAGGTGGAGTTGGAGCTGGAGTTGGCACTGGAGTTTCTGGTTCTGGGGGTGCTGGAGTTGGAGCTGGGGTTGGAGCTGGAGTTTCTGGTTCTGGAGTTGGAGCTGACCCGGTGGGTGCAGAGGACTCTTGTCGTCCGGGAGCTGGTGCTGGCCGCGCGGACACTGGGGGTGCTGCGTCTGGGGGTGAGGGTGCGC